TTTTTTTTTTTTTTTTTTGTGGCAATCCATTTCGCCACAACAGGAGAAATCAAAGTGGGTAAAATTATAAACTTTAACTGTACATATACATTATTTCAAATACTAATCGTTACAGAGACTTAGACGCTCTGTGAATGTGTCCACAAGTGTTTACCCGTGAATACTGTGTGTCTTTGGCTTATTGAATTATTGCCTTTAAATGAAATGTATGGAGTGGTTCACACAACATATTAAGTAATTTTCACTCCTTTTTTCTAAGAACTTTGCCATTTTGACTTGCCATCTCTCCTCTCTCCCAGGGCCACACTTCACTCAAAGCTTTAAGTGAAATGACAGGCTATTGATTCCAATCTTGTAATCGTCTGTTTCGCATCTTCTCGTTTGGGGCTGGTGTTATTTGGTGGGCAGATTATTAAATCACATCTTCTGTTCTAAAGATCCATCCTGACAACAAGGGTGACCCTGTAACTCTGACAGCGGTCAGTTTACCCTGTTCATGTAGGTCTTCTGCATGCCTCGTTTGTGTTCCAATACAGAAAGGCAGGTTGGACTAGGCTGGCGTGGCTCAGTGGTTGAGCGTCGACCTGTGAACCAAGAGGTCACGGTTCGATTCCCCGTCAGGGCAGATGCCTGGGTTCTGGGCTCGATCCCCAGCAGGAGGCGTGCAGGAGGCAGCCGGCACATGACTCTCTCTCATCACTGATGTTTCTCTCTCTCTCCCCCCTCCCTTCCTCTCTCTGAAATGAATAAAAATATATTTAAAAAATAAAAAAGGCAGGTTGGGTTTCTACCTGCAGTGCTCCTCCCTGGCTTCACCTCTTTTTAGTGAGCCAGTCCCTGTTCCTCTGGCACATGTCACTCATCCGTTCCGTTTTGGGGCTCCCCCTGGCACTGTGCCAGTATTTTCTCAGCATAAATCGCTGCCCTGAAGTGGGACAGGTAGGAGGAGGCACCGCTCTCGCCCTGCCCTAGCCGCAGGGGACCTGGAGGTAGGATGTGACATTGTACTATCTCAAACTACCTTCTATAATTATCAGAGCCCCTTGGGGCCAAGGAGTCCCCATGGTGAGCCAGTTTATCCTGCTTCTGGGTGAGGCTTCTCTGATCGATTAAGCCTCCCAGGGAAAAAGAACCACAGTTTTGTCACTTTTCTCCAACTCCCCCAAAGCCTTCCTCATACCAACCTTAAATCTTTATGCTTCATTCCAAACTCCTTTCTTCATAGTCCCTCCCCAGGAGAGATGGGAGGCATCTAACTACAGGTATAATGTTATGTAATAAGCATCCAAGTGTGTAAATAATGTTACTGTCACAGCCAAACCCTGTTCAGATCCAGTTCAGTGATCCCTTCCCCTCCCGTTTTTCTTCCTGCAACCTTTATATCTCTCACTGCAAAACTTCAGGAATATTCTAAAGTAGAGAATACATGTTACTCTAGCATTTATTATTGCCATTCTATGTACTACCTGGGCCAAGGTGAGCATTGCCTAAGTAACATCCTGACTTAATCAAAGTCATGGGCCGTTGGAACAAGAGCTCATTTTCTGGAGAAAGAAACAGAGGCCTGGGTGGTGGGGCAGGAGCTGTGCCCTGGGCACAGTTGCTTCATAGCATGCTCACAAGAACTGGCTGTGAGGACAGGACCGGGCCGCCCCACCTGTCACCACACTGCCTGTTTTATTTTCGTCTTTCACTCATCACTGTCTGCTCTTTCTGTTTGGTTGTCAGCTGCCTTTTCTCACTAGCATGCAAACTCCAGGAGAACATGGACCTCACCGGCTTACTGCCAGATCCCCGAAGCCTCAGATAATGCTTGAGCTAGATAAAATTGTTACTGTTGGGGTGGTGGGAAGAGGAGAGGAAAGGGAATAAAATTAGAAGTCCATTGCCCATAGTACATTGTAGAAGTTTGTTGCTATCGGTTTTTGCTATTTGCTATAGGTTTTTCTAAGAAAAGCATCTATTTTGTATCACTGTGGCTATTAATCACATTATTTATGTTACATTATATCAGGAGTTAGGAATCCAAGTCCCTGGAATGGGATTGCTTGGATTCAATTCCAGTTTCACTACTGACTAGCTGTGCAACTTTAGTCAGGTTGCTTAACTTCTCTGTGCTTCTCTGTCTTTATCTGAAAGTGTGGCTATGTTTTGAAATGAGGATTACATGAGATAACACATGTATTAGTCTGCTAGGTCTGCCATAACAAAATACCACAGGCTGGGTGGCTTAAACAACAGAATTTTTTTCCTCAAAATTCTGGAGGCTGGAAGACTAAGACCAAAGTGCCAGCAGGGTTGGTTTCTGGTGAGGCCCCTTGGCTTGGCGCTCAGAGGGTCACCTGCTCGCTGTGTCCTCACATGGCCTTTGCTCTGTGCACACACACTCCTGATATCTCTTTTTCTTCTTATATGGCAATCAGACTTATTGGATTTGGGCCCAACTTACGACTTCATTTAACTTCAGTTACCTCCTTAACGGCCCTTTGTCCACATACAGTCACACTGGGGGTTGAGTTTCAAAATATGATTCTTGGGTGGGGGTGTGACGCAGCTCAGTCCATAACACGTATAGTTAGAAATTAGCTATCATTCCACAAATTCTCAAGAAGTTGTTAACATACCATTATCAGCAGTGGTCTCATCATTTTCATCATCATTTTTATTGTTTGAAACCCCTTCATGCCTTACCCTAGGTCAGTAGGCCTGGGAGTTAGGCGGGAACATGTCCCCTTGTATCTGAGGTGCAAAGATCTATAACCCCCTCAAAATTGTTTCAGCAATGTGGGTGGCCGAGGGGAACCCCACCCCCTGAGGCCTGGCTTAATGTCTTTCTCAGCCTCCACCCTGCCTCCCCTCAGTCTCCAAATGGGTTATTTTTCTGTCATTCATTCTTTTCTTACTATGACGTCATTCACTCGCTGTGTCTGGGATTCTAGTGAGTAAAACAAATAAAATTATGGCCACAACCCGAGTGAACAGCAAGTGGCAAAGAGACCTTAATTGTTTCTCAAATAGTACACATCAAAGATAAATTTTGTAAGCCCGGCCGGGCGTCGTTCAGCGGTTGAGCTTTGACCTAGGATCCAGGCGATCGGGGTTCGACTCCTGGTCGGGGCACATGCCCGGGTTATGGGCTGCAGCCGATCAATGACTCTCCCATAATTGATGTTTCTATCTCTCTCTCTCCTTTCCTCTCTCTGAAATCAATAAAGATTTTTTAATTTTTTTTTTAAAAAGATAAATGTCGTAGATTTGGAGCAGTCATTCCATATGCCTGGCTGGCAGTTCCTCATTCTGCACCACCTCCTGTGTTAGGAAACATGACTCTAGTCACCTGCAGCACAGTAGTGTCCACCAGAGATGTGGACGGCGGCCCTGCCTTGCAGCTGCCCTGCCCCCCCGAGCGCCGCGGCGAGGCCCGGCCTGCTGGCGCTGCATCCACGCTGTTTTGGGCGTGATGTTGCTGACGCCGTGGAAAGCAGTTTATCAGCTTTTCTCTTCCCACTCCTTCACGTTATTGATTTTGCTTAAGAATACCCTCTTTGTTCATAGAAAGTGTAAAAATAAACCGTAGTGATTTGAAATGGGTAACTTTTGGGACAGCAGGGTGGACTCATAATTAATGAGGTTTTATTACTCCACTAGAGCTCCTCCAAATTCTTGATATTTTTCTTAGCGGGTTAAAATCTGAAACTGGGCAATAATTCAAATCAGGCAAAAGGAGGGCTGGGCTTGAAGAGGGAGTGTGATCCCGGTGTCTAGAGGAGCTAGCACAGCAATTCCTCACTTAGTACAACGTGTCAGGAGTGAGGAACACAAGCTACTCAATGGCTAGTATCTTTCTGTTGGTTTGCATATATAGTCGCATAGCTTTAGAGTCCAAATGGAGCTTTAGGTTAAAGTTTAAAAATCAGAGAAGATTATTTTATCTTTGGATGTACTGAAGCCTTGTAATAATGCGGCCAACTTTGACAACTATGAAAGAAGAAATTTTATAATTAATCATGATGTATATAGGAACATAAAACTGCAAATCCTTTTTCTGCCATTTTCTTAATTTCCCACAATACAGATATAGCAGTGTGATGAAGAACACAATGTAAGCATTAAGAGGAACCATGGTCCCTCTCAATGTAAAAATATTAAACCAGCTAATGTTGGAACATAATCTATAATTTGATGGACAGTTTATTTTTAACTATGGACCCCTCAATCTCATGGCCTATTCGTAAACCAGAACTCAAGGGTTCTCCTAGACCCCTGGGACATTCTTTGGTTCATTCATCAAATTAGTGTCGAGCTATAGCGATAACGAAAGGAGCAAAAGCCTCACCTTCTCAGAGTTCATGTGCTGCACAGGGAATAATTAAACAAGCATGCGAGGTGTTGTCCAGGAGTGACAAACGCTATGTAGGAAAACAGAGCAGCAGGCTAAGGAGACAAAGTCAGGGGGAGAGTGATGATGTTAGATAAACACAATCATGGAGAACCTCTGGAGGAGATGATATTTGGACAGAGACCTAAATGAAGGACCATTAGCTGAAACAGGGGCATGGGTCC